GCGCCAACGCCACAGCAGCGGCGCTGACCGCCACGGCTGGAGCGGAGAGTTCCGCGGCGGCGGCGCAGAGTGCCCGGAATGCACTGATCTACGCCATGTTTGCGGAGCGCACCGCAAAGGCTGCAGGAGCACCACAGAAGGCATCACCAGCAGCGAAAACAAGCAGTTCACGACAGGGGACGACAGTAACAAGATCAGAGAGCTCTAATGGGCAAACTGACTCTTCTGAGTCCGAGCGTAGAGTTGGCGCAGATGGGACTGGTGGAACTGCAGCCAGCGTGCAGGGGCTGGAGAGACAAACGACTGCTGTTCAGACAGAAGTGGAGCATGAAGAGAGAGAAATGAGAGATGGCGTGGAAACGGTGAGGAATGGTAAGATGAAAAGTGAGACGTTGACGAAAAGCCAGGAGCGTGAAAACCAAGAGCATATTCCTGGGGATTCACCGGGTCATCAAACTGGACACTCTGATTCCTCTCTGTCAGCAAGTAATAACCATCTGTCTGTGGCTTCGAGCAGTGAGACATCAACAACAACATCACAATCCACACCAACGGCCGATGAAGAAGATCAGCGTGCAGTTGTGGAGCGGCAAGAGCACGGTGCGTTGCAAGGGGAAGTATCGGTGCCAGTTGCAGTCCACACAGTGCCAAAGAATATTCTTCCATCGGACCACAACACGAACGAACTGAGCCAGAATCAACAAAGAACGATGAATGGCGGTACCTCTCACGAAGAGGAGAAGAGTACTGATATGGTTACAGTGGTCACCCCAGAGATTAATGCCGAAACTGAGGAAGAGGAACCGCAAGTGTCAAAATTGGGTCCCGTCCCATCCGTTGAGGTGGGAGAAACAGTGCCACTGGCATTTCAACATGGAGCACTGATGGTCGCTGTGGAAGCGTCGGGAACCGAAGCTACGGTTACGACACCAGCCAAGGTGGTGGCGGCAGAGGCGGACAAAGCAATGGAGTACGTCACGGAAGCGGCGACAAACGCTGCGGCTGCACTGGTAAAGGCTTCGGCGGCAGAGAATAGCGCTGGAATGATGTTGAAGAGCACCACTGATGCCGTGGAGAGCGCCGGGCTGTTGCTGAGCATGGCTGAAAAGGCAGCGCGTACTGTTAAAGATGCAACACGAGAAGCAGAGGCAACTGCAACAGAGAAGGTTGAAGATACAATACAGAAGGCAGGGACAGCTTCGCCGGAGAAGGTCAAAGGTGCAACGCGAGAAGCAGAGGCAACTGTAACACAGAAGGTTGAGGAGGAAGGAAAGCATATTTCCAACAGAGCAACAGATGCAAAGACTGAGACGGGTGCTGTTGTTGTGAAGGTGATTCGCAAAGCGGACGGCAGTAGCGTCTCTGCGTGGATACGCGTGCCGCTTCTTCTGTCGGGGGCACTCGCCTATGTGACTCTGTGCCAATGAGGGGAGCCTTTAACTAGTGGTAATATTGTTTAATTGCTTGGGTTCGTGGGAGGACTGAATACATATACTTGATAATAGACTTTTTCATTTCATTCATTGCTGCTCCGATGTGGGCTTCTGGGCTTCTTTTAATCCGCCCGCGATGACACTCGTTTGTGCGCTGTGCGTGTCAGGGCGTCTCTTTTACTTTTAGGCCAGTCGGTTCTTCCCTCCTGGTGGGCTGTGTGCCTCTCCCGCCACTCAATTGTTTTGAAACGGATGCATCGGTGGTGTTTTGTTCATGTGTTGTGTCGCTGTTGTTGTTCTGTTCCTTCTCTTTCTATGTATGCGTGTGGCGTGGTTGCACCTCTATATCTTCCTTCCCCGCGTAGAGCTCAACAACTGAAGCGATATTGGTGGTGATGCAGCGCCGCGAGCTGTGCATGTGGGCTGCTGCAGTGCTGTGTGCCACGCTGTGCGCAGCAGCTACAACTGCCGCTGGTGGTGCAGCAGCAGCAGGTGCAGGTGGAGTGGAAGGCCAACAGCAAGCGCAGTCGGTGGGACATGCGCCCGGTGCGACAGGAAGCAGAGATGCGGCTGTAGGCGCTTCACCGGGCTTGAACCTTCCAGACGCCAAGGTGTGCGGTGAAGGACAAACACCAGAAAAGGATTCGTGTACTTCCCCTCCGTCTTCCGATTCTAAAGTGAGCAGCGGGCAGGATGCCGGCGCCCAGCTGAGTGGATCACACGCAAGGAGCGACAGTGACCTCCAGCGCCCAACAGGTATGGAGCAGCCGCATGCGCAGAGTGATCAGGAGTGTGATCAAACAGAGGGTGAGTTGGAGGAGTCACGCCCAGTGGGGCAGAAGAAGGTGTGTAAGAAGGCAAGCAAGGGCCACATCGTGAAGACCTTGGAAGAGAAGAAAAACCTTTCTGACGATCTGGAGGCCAAGAATTCTCCGTTTGAGCAAGTGAAAAGTGTTGTTAATGGTAAGGGGCGTGAGGCTCCGAGAGGAGATCTTGCTCCCGATCACTCTGCGGAACCAGGCGTCAGGGACATTGGCTTACAACGGCCGATACTTCCACTGGCGTCTGGAAGTCAGCCATCCCACAACTCGGCAGCGAATTCAGCGCTTCACTCAGATCTGCCGTCAGGGGGCAACTCGGCCGTCACAAGCCGTGATGGATACGCCCCAGCCCCGCTGCCCGCCGCCGCCGCCGCGGGAGCTGCGCAGGGCCCTCAAGGTGTCGGTGCTGATCACCAAGCAGAATCCACAGCGTCCGAGGGAATGGCAAGTGGAGATGGTGTTACTTCCACCAAAGAGGACACCAAAAAAGAGGAGCCTGATTCCATTGGGAGCGCTCCCCTCACTTCTGCGACGACAGAGACTCCCGCTGCCGCTGCCGACAAACGGACAGAAACAGATGGAGCGACGCCTAATGCGGCCATAAATGCCGCAAAGACAGACGCGACCACCGCCACGATGGCTGCTGCTGCTCTGCTGGTGGCAGCGCTGGCCAGCATTTCTGTGCTCTGAGCGGTGTGGTGACAAAACAAGCAGGGCCTCCTAATTTGTAATTGTTTGCGACCCTTGTGGTCACTGGAGCCCACATGTTGGGCTTTTTTGTTTTCCTTCCTTTATTGCTGCCCCGTTGTGGGCTCGGCGCCTCCTCCTCCGTCTTCCAAGGGTCTGTGCGCTGGTGTGTTGGACGCCGCACTCCCTCTCGTTGTTTGGGGTCGTTGGTCTTCTGTGCATTAAGCACTGGTGCGTGCCCTGTCGGCACCAGACTTCTTTAAGTGATATCTCTTGCTTTGGTGCAGCGCTGCACACATGGATGGTATGCTCTTGTCGTTGCCTGTTGCTCATCCCCGCCATGTGTGTGTGTCTGTGCTACCAGCTGTGTGTGTCCCTATTCTCAGACGCCAGCTGCTCAAGCTATACTGAGAAAGATGAAGATGGTACGCCAATTGCTGTGCCTGCTGGCCCTCGCACTGTGGTGCTGCACAGCCCTGTGCGTGAGTGCTGCTGTGCCTGAGATAAGCGTCCCGCTCGATAAGGCAGCAGCGCAAGCTGCGGACGCGGTGAAGGAAGCGAATGGGGCGGCAGAGGCAGCGGAGGCTGTGAGGTCACTCGCTTTGGACGCAGTGCAAAGAGCTAACGCAGCGGTGACCAACGCCAGAGCCACAGCGACGCTCATTGAGGAGGGTGAAGCGATGGCTGAGAAGGCTTCGGAGTATGCTGAACGGGCAGTGGCGCTGTGTAACGCTGGAGGGAAGCTGGCTGAAAACCCGCACAAGAGCGGCGAGGCGGCGACAGAAGCAACGCCAACGCATGTAACGGGCGTGGAGAGTGCAACATTAAGCTCGGGATCGGCAGCAATTAGACCTGCTGCGAGCTTTGTGTATTCGCTGAGTGCTGAAGGAGGGGCGCAGGGGGGTCCGGCTACGGCGGAAACACCGTCTATAATAATGCCAAGGACTGAGAGGGAGCGGCAGGCTTCTGTGCCACCTCGAGCAAAGGCTGCTAAAGTACTGAAAGCTGAGAGTGCGAGCGGAGGTGTCGCTGTTCCATCGCCGACACCTTCGCCCGAAGCTCATGGCGTGCGTGCGAATTCAGCTCCGCCGAGTGGTGATATGAGTGGCACGGACAGTCTGCAAAGCTCTCAGGTGAAGCCGAAGAAAACCGTTCCAGAGAAGCAGCTGAGCCATGCCAGGCCTGTGCAACGTGCTTCGCGGCAGGTACTGATGGCATCATCGTCGACTTCCGATGAAAATGTGTCCTCCGGCGAAACACCCGCCTCACCGAAGCAGGTGGCGTCTACGAATATGGTTGAGAACATTCCAGAGGCAGTGAAGAAAACGACGGATGCGGCTCGGAAAATGATGGAGGCCGCGAATAAATTCACAGCTGCGGCGGACTCGGCGGGCGAGGCAAGCATGGATGCCGCTGAGGCCAAGAATAAGGCGGACGAAGTCATGGACACAGGTGCAGAAGCTGCTGGAGCAGCCATGGAGGCGTCGAGGAAGGCTGCGGAGCTGGCAGAGATCTGCAAGGAGGCTGAGGCGAAATGTGCGGATGCGGTGGATGATGTCACGACAGCAGCTGCGCAGGCCGACGAGGCGATTGAGAAAGCTGAGATTGCCGTGGAGGAGGCGAGGCAGGCTGCGGCGAACGCCAATTACGCGGTGGAGAAGGCTCGGGAGGCAGAGGGCATTGCCACGGCTGCAGCGGACAAGGTTATGCAGGCAGCGGAGGACGTTGCTGGTGTGCCGGACTCCCTCGCGAATGCGGCAGAGTACGCTGAGACGGTAAAGCAGACTAGAGGAACGAGTGCTACTGAGGCGAATGATGAAGTCAAAGCCAAGGAGGCAGTGAAGGTTGTTGCGGATGGCGCACGCCTCGCTAAGAATTCAGCGGACATCGCGAAGGGTGTCAAGGCGGGGAATGCAGAGGCGGTGGAGCTTATTAAGGACGCGCAGAGGTGTGCTGAGGCAGCTGTGGAAAGGGCGACGGCTGCAGAGAAGAATGCTGGCCTGGTGAGGGACCTCACTGCAGCCGCTTCGGAGGCTGCTGAGGGTGTGGTGCAACGCACGCAGGCAGTCGCTGCAGCAGCGCTGAAGACAGCTGAGGGGAAGGCGCGGCGTATGACTGATGGAGCGGCTGCGGCGTCCTGCAAGACGAATGGCAGCGTCATTGCTGCGTGGCTGCATACACCACTACTGGTGTTGTTGCTGATAGGGGCGCTGACCCTAGGTTCTGTGTGATGCGTGGTGAGAGTGCTGGTTGTTGCTTTCTTACGTAAATGCTTGCACCCATGGGAACTAAATACTGAGCGTTAATGGATGGTTTCTTTTATTTTCATTGCTGCTGTTGGGAGGTGGTCTGTGTAGTGCTGCTCTCCCCGTTGTGTGTGTGAGCCCCTGCAGGCCAACCCCCTTGGCTGCTGCAGCCCTTTTCGTTTCATTTCACTGCTGCTGATGCTGCTTCCCTGTGCGCTCCGCCACTCTCAAGTGTGGCGGAGTGCACTCGAGGTGTTTGACCGCTTCTTCCCTTCGTGACTCTCCTCCTATGTGATTCGCTGCGGCGTGGGTGTTTGGGGCCGCACCGCCTCTCGCTAGCACACATTGAGAGCACAGAGGGACACAGTCCTGCAAATATTGAGCGAGGCGTAATACTTCTATACCCGTCCATCACAGTACTGCAATGCTTTTAATTGTTTTTTTTGGAGGGGAGCTATTTTACGTTTTTTTTGTTGGGTCACTGAGCGACGTCTTGGGTCTTCTATTCTAATGGGACTTCTTTTTGACTGTGGATGCGCTGCGTGTTGCGGGCTGTGCCTCAGTCTCCGGCTGGATGTGTGTGTGTGCGTGTCACATGTGTGTGTCTTCTCTTTCTCTCTCGTGCGGACCATTGTGCTTCCATTGAGTACGGTGGTGGTGTCGCGTCGCGTGGTATTCCTGCTGCCCATTTGTGCTGTGCCGCAGTTTCTTCTGCGTGACTGCCGCCGCTGCTCCGCCTGAAGGGGTGGCGGCGCAGTCGACGGCCCCGCTGCGAAACGCCAAGGCGGTGGCGGGTGCCGTTAACGAGTCGGTGGGCAGGGCAGTGGAGAGTGTTGACGCGTTCAAGAGTCAGGCGGGGATTGGCAAGAGCGCAGCGGAGGGTGCGCACCAGGCAGCAGTTAGGCTGACGTACGCCGAGAAGGCTGCCCAGAGTGCTGCGTTGCTGTTGGGCCTCACGGAGGAACCGGGCATGAGCGGCCCCACTGCAGGTGCTGCGGAGTCGTCGAATGAGAACCGAGGCCCCCAGCCTGGGGCATAGACTGTCACTCCAATAGGTGGCGCTGATGGTGGCGGTACAACGCCGCATTCTCCTGCACCGAAAAGCATGGCTGATAAAGCGGAAGGAGGAGCCGCGGACGCATCGAGGAGGCAGGTGACAAACAACTTGGCGCATGATAATGGCAGAGCGGACACCAGCGACAGTCCTGCGTGTGTGCGTGGGCCGCCGCTGCTTCTGAGTGTGATGACCCTTCTGGCTGCGTGCTGAGGCATGTGTGTGTGTGCCCGGTAGAATGTATGACCCGTCTAACGGTGTGCCGCAGTGGGGGCGGATGGCCGCACTTTAAAATACTTTAAAAAAAAAAAGAAATAAAATTCCTGATAATCTATCTAATTGTTTCAGTGCGCTCCACCCATCACGGGTTGCATTGCATGCGATGGCATTGGTGATGTGGGTCGTTTCTTTAATTTTATTTGGGCTTGGCTTTGCACGCTGCTGTGCGTCACGCACTAACTGTTTCTTCTGCTGTGGGATACTCTTTTCATCTCTGTGTGTGTGTGTGCTGAGCCACGCTCCGCATGTTGGGCTGCTGCTGCTGCTGGGAGTTTGTCTGTGTGGCGCTGCTCTCCCCGCTTTGTGTGCTTAGTGCGCCCTGGCTCTGGGAGGAATGCGTGGCGGCTGCCCGTTGTTGGGCGTACAGCATCCCCCTCTTTGTTTTGGGCTTCGGCTTCTTTTGTACGGGTTTGTGTGGGTGGGGGAAATGCATTTGCTTCAGCTGCTGCGGGGACGGCTCGTATGGTGAATTCACCCCCGTTGTTTTTGTTTCTTGTT